CACTACACTCTACCTAATTCTATGTATTATAAGTACTATAAGTCACTTTTATCCAACACCTCACTACACTCTACCTAATTCTATGTATTTTAAGTACTATAAGTCACTTTTATCCAACACCTCACTACACTCTACCTAATTCTATGTATTATAAGTACTATAAGTCACTTTTATCCAACACCTCACTACACTCTACCTAATTCTATGTATTATAAGTACTATAAGTCACTTTTATCCAACACCTTACTACACTCTACCTAATTCTATGTATTATAAGTACTATAAGTCACTTTTATCCAACACCTCACTACACTCTACCTAATTCTATGTATTATAAGTACTATAAGTCACTTTTATCCAACACCTCACTACACTCTACCTAATTCTATGTATTATAAGTACTATAAGTCACTTTTATCCAACACCTCACTACACTCTACCTAATTCTATGTATTATAAGTACTATAAGTCACTTTTATCCAACACCTCACTACACTCTACCTAATTCTATGTATTATAAGTACTATAAGTCACTTTTATCCAACACCTCACTGAACTCTTCCTAATTCTATGTATTATAAGTACTATAAGTCACTTTTATCCAACACCTCACTACACTCTACCTAATTCTATGTATTATAAGTACTATAAGTCACTTTTATCCAACACCTCACTACACTCTACCTAATTCTATGTATTATAAGTACTATAAGTCACTTTTATCCAACACCTTACTACACTCTACCTAATTCTATGTATTATAAGTACTATAAGTCACTTTTATCCAACACCTCACTACACTCTACCTAATTCTATGTATTATAAGTACTATAAGTCACTTTTATCCAACACCTCACTACACTCTACCTAATTCTATGTATTATAAGTACTATAAGTCACTTTTATCCAACACCTCACTACACTCTACCTAATTCTATGTATTATAAGTACTATAAGTCACTTTTATCCAACACCTTACTACACTCTACCTAATTCTATGTATTATAAGTACTATAAGTCACTTTTATCCAACACCTTACTACACTCTACCTAATTCTATGTATTTTAAGTACTAAGTCATTCTATGTATTTTAAGTCAGTATAAGTCACTTTTATCCAACACCTTACTACACTCTACCTAATTCTATGTATTTTAAGTACTATAAGTCACTTTTATCCAACACCTTACTACACTCTACCTAATTCTATGTATACACTTACCTAATTCTATGTATTTTAAGTACTAGTCTATAAGTCACTTTTATCCAACACCTTACTACACTCTACCTAATTCTATGTATTTTAAGTACTATAAGTCACTTTTATCCAACACCTTACTACACTCTACCTAATTCTATGTATTTTAAGTACTAGTCTATAAGTCACTTTTATCCAACACCTTACTACACTCTACCTAATTCTATGTATTTTAAGTACTATAAGTCACTTTTATCCAACACCTTACTACACTCTACCTAATTCTATGTATTTTAAGTACTAGTCTATAAGTCACTTTTATCCAACACCTTACTACACTCTACCTAATTCTATGTATTTTAAGTACTATAAGTCACTTTTATCCAACACCTTACTACACTCTACCTAATTCTATGTATTTTAAGTACTAGTCTATAAGTCACTTTTATCCAACACCTTACTACACTCTACCTAATTCTATGTATAAGTATTATAAGTACTTTTATCCAACACCTTACTACACTCTACCTAAGTCTATGTATTATAAGTACTAGTATATAAGTCACTTTTATCCAACACCTTACTACACTCTACCTAATTCTATGTATTTTAAGTACTAGTCTATAAGTCACTTTTATCCAACACCTTACTACACTCTACCTAATTCTATGTATTTTAAGTACTAGTCTATAAGTCACTTTTATCCAACACCTTACTACACTCTACCTAATTCTATGTATTTTAAGTACTATAAGTCACTTTTATCCAACACCTCACTACACTCTACCTAATTCTATGTATTATAAGTACTATAAGTCACTTTTATCCAACACCTTACTACACTCTACCTAATTCTATGTATTATAAGTACTATAAGTCACTTTTATCAAACACCTTACTACACTCTACCTAATTCTATGTATTTTAAGTACTATACACTTTTATCCAACACCTTACTACACTCTACCTAATTCTATGTATTTTAAGTACTATAAGTCACTTTTATCCAACACCTTACTACACTCTACCTAATTCTATGTATTTTAAGTACTAGTCTATAAGTCACTTTTATCCAACACCTTACTACACTCTACCTAAGTCTATGTATTTTAAGTACTATAAGTCACTTTTATCCAACACCTTACTACACTCTACCTAATTCACTAAGTCACTTTTATCCAACACCTTACTACACTCTACCTAATTCTATGTATTTTAAGTACTAGTCTATAAGTCACTTTTATCCAACACCTTACTACACTCTACCTAATTCTATGTATTTTAAGTCTACTATAAGTCACTTTTATCCAACACCTTACTACACTCTACCTAATTCTATGTATTTTAAGTACTAGTCTATAAGTCACTTTTATCCAACACCTTACTACACTCTACCTAATTCTATGTATTATAAGTACTATAAGTCACTTTTATCCAACACCTTACTACACTCTACCTAATTCTATGTATTATAAGTACTATAAGTCACTTTTATCCAACACCTCACTACACTCTACCTAAGTCTATGTATTATAAGTACTATAAGTCACTTTTATCCAACACCTTACTACACTCTACCTAATTCTATGTATTTTAAGTACTATAAGTCACTTTTATCCAACACCTTACTACACTCTACCTAATTCTATGTATTTTAAGTACTATAAGTCACTTTTATCCAACACCTTACTACACTCTACCTAATTCTATGTATTTTAAGTACTAGTCTATAAGTCACTTTTATCCAACACCTTACTACACTCTACCTAAGTCTATGTATTTTAAGTACTATAAGTCACTTTTATCCAACACCTTACTACACTCTACCTAATTCTATGTATTTTAAGTACTAGTCTATAAGTCACTTTTATCCAACACCTTACTACACTCTACCTAATTCTATGTATTTTAAGTACTAGTCTATAAGTCACTTTTATCCAACACCTTACTACACTCTACCTAATTCTATGTATTTTAAGTACTAGTCTATAAGTCACTTTTATCCAACACCTTACTACACTCTACCTAATTCTATGTATTTTAAGTACTAGTCTATAAGTCACTTTTATCCAACACCTTACTACACTCTACCTAATTCTATGTATTATAAGTACTATAAGTCACTTTTATCCAACACCTTACTACACTCTACCTAAGTCTATGTATTATAAGTTGTGAAAAACAGTATTTATGATAGTTAAATGAATCGAAAGCTATTCAGTAAACTATCCATTGACATGATATCATTTGCCTATGCAACTGAATAATACATAGGGAAATACAACTACTGTAATGGATAGAAAAGTTGAGCTTCGGTTATGGAAACATACATGTATGTAGACCAGTTCATTACTCAATAAACCCTGGCATACTGTTTCTCGTTCATAATTTGTATAGAAAGATGAAATTCACTTGTTTACCTTTTGTACAATACTTTTATCACCACCTATGTAGAACAGTTAACAGTTATCTTCAGTATTATCTACTCGGGAAAGAATTTTTAGATATGCTAGACCAAAGGAGAAACATAGAAGTATTTCAACCCTGAATTCAACCATTTTTACCTCTTTCTCTTCTATCTCAGACCTGCCTATAATTCAGTAGTGTTTGTAAACCTATATATAAAATCATATTCGTTTAGATGAAAAATACTGACATTTATAAATATTTACAGACGGCGGCGAATTGCCCCATCCTTAACATACATATCGTTCGCCCATATTGTTTCAATAAGTAAACTGTATATTGATATTCATCAACATGAAAAGATTCTATTGCTCGTAACTTCATAAGAGATAATATATATAATCATCGTTGTGTACTAACATAGAACAACTTTGTTGTTAATATTCCGCCCCGTAGTACAATAAAACACAAATAAAAAAGTAAATATCGGGCAAAAAATGCAAATTGTCTAATTCAGAACTTATGAAGAGGAAATAGGACACGGTAGGTTTTCACTATAAACTGTAAACACAACATCCTTTTAAGATTGTTTTGTGGCTAAGTGTACAACAGCAACAATGGAAAGGGTACTAGATGTTGAAGGTTCTACATCACGACGATATGTGTTAAACTATGTTGTCTTAGAGACACCACGTTACCAATAATAACGGTTCTTGTAAGATAATGGAAATAGTCTGTTATGGAAACGTCACTAGTATAAAACTGTGGAACTAGGCCATTCAAAGAATTACAGTACCAAGCTAACACACTGTCACTTTAAGGTGAACCCATACCCCAAGTATGAAGTAACAATAACAAATGATGTAGAACATACTGCCCAAACGTTTTCTTAGAAGTAGGTCAAAGATCAAAACCTAGATCAGAGTGATCTACTGGTTTTTAATAAAAGACATCCGCCTCACAAAGGTGACCCCACACCCCAAGTATGAAGTTCCGGTGACAAGTAGTGAGATAGATAAATTTTTCGTTGATGTGGGTCAAAGGTTAAAATGTGGGCCATGCTGACCTACTTTGGATACATGACGTATCGCTCAGGTGGACCTATATCCATGTGAAGTTCCGATGACAAGTGATGTAGGAGATAGTGTGCGGACAAGATTAAGGAAGAACAGACGAATGAACCGTCGGACGAAATGTGAGACTATTGTCGTCTCTTAGGTTCCTGCTGGAGGTCAAATTAGCAAAATCTGAGTAAATGTGACCGCGAAAAAATGAACCATCGAAAAATGACATTATAACGGAGGAATAGGTTTTTTTTTATCTAGAATCATCAGTCTCTTTTAATACTAAATTAATATTTTCTTCTAAATTGCAGTATTAAGATATTAAATACTTACCGGTATACATTGACATATAAGACAATTCATTCTTCCATACGGCTCAATTGGTGGACTGAATTTCTCCTTTAGACGGTAATGTGTGTTACCCAATACACAACCTATAAACAATAAAGATATGGCTCAGTATAAAGTAAAAAATGCATTCCAAAATTGTCGGGGAATTCTGTAAAAGTTAAAATATCTAATGGTTAAAGATTGTAAAAAAGATACACGTGAAAAACACCTTCTATAAAAGCATAGTGTCAGATACAGTAAAGTCAACAACAAATGCATTATACTGTTGTTTAGTCCATGTGAGTGATGCTGAGAAGTGAGAAAATTTCAAAGTGATCGAAAGAAAATTTAAAATGAAAGAAATAGAATTAATATTAGTAGGTTACAAAAAATCAAATACAGTAAACTAGTAAATAATTTTGAGTATCAGATTATTGCAAAATCATAACAAAAGAAAGATTTTCACTGAGACTCCTGAAAAGGTAGAATGAGAATCAGACCATGTGTACAAATTATTGTACAACAGAAACACAAGTGATTAGGATATTTTCAAAACAAAATGTTAGAATTAGTTAAAGTAAGGCCCAATGATGAAGCATACTCCACCATACAGACGTTTCGTCCTTCCAAGACCCATAAGTGATAGATAATAAGGTCAAATTGTTAAGCCTGTGGCAACCGAGGAAAATCAAAATCGATCGAAAGAAACGTCAACAAGAGAATCGATACTACTTCTGAAAAATATGACCTGATGAATGTTTTACACTGAAATGACCAGATGCTCAAGTCAGATACGTGTTCATTGTTTCATGAATGACAACATCCATGTAACCAAAATCCATCAAAAGTTAGTGTCAGTGAGATAGGCAAAAAAGTGACACGATATTGTATCATAAAAGACATTGAAATTACATTTTTTGACAATTTAAGAGATAATTTTAATTAGGTAGAAAATCCTGTATCAATAAGATATTATTTCATATGTTAGTGTACATTTGTCTGCACATGCGCAGGATAATTGAAGATATAAAAAATATTGGAGTTAAATTTGAAAATATTTTCGATACAAGTGTTATATACCTTAATTTCATTATACATGTACTGTTTCAGGTTGATGGTGAAAGGTGTACGTTCAATTTTCATTATATATATAATGTGTAAGGGTGATGGTGGAATGTACACCTTCAAATTTCATTATACATATATAATGTATATGATGTATATATATATGTATATAATATATATATATATATATATATACATTATACCTTCCACCATTGACCTTACACAGTATATGGCTAAGATGACACAGTGGTGACTATCTGAATGACGGTATTCGATAAATGGTCAATGAAAATTAGTTTTTCAAACAGAGTCATGTTTTAATAGATGTTTGGTAGGGACACAGGAGACAAAACAGACATCCGTTTCACAAAAACATGTCGAATCGTTGAAACGTTCTGCATATGGAAAGAATTACGATTAGGGGCACCCTCGTGTATATTCCCAGCTGATATGAATACAGCATGTCGTCTGTATAAGAAAATGCAGGTGGTACCACGCTGAAATGGTATTTAATGTATCACAGCAAACCAGTTACTAGTTCTGTTACTGTAATAGTACTGTAAGGTAGAAATAAAAATATTCCGAACGTTACAAATTATCTTAATGGTGAAAAACTTCTCCTGTGTGATAGTAGAAAATCACGTTCCTGTGTCAAGGCCAAAACATTCAAAGCACGTTTTGAACTTATTTTGCTAAATCAGGTGCCTTTTCTAACGCTCCGAGTAGCATTCCTTACACATAGTTTCTGCTGCAAGGAACCGTACACTCAATGCTCCATTGCAGTATGCGAACCATTAACTTTAGTCGAGGGAGTGAAATAGACATCCATACACTACATTCCAAACAGCATTGACAGCTTAACAATTAATTAAGATTTTTGTGGTGTCGTTATACAAAATACTTAGGTAGTAACGTATTTCAAAACTAGGTGTTAATTTTTTTTTTCGAAAAATCTCAAACAATACTTTTAATTTGTTACCTTGGTAACGTGTTCGGTAAAACAACTGACAGTACGGTAATTTACATAAATATTACATGTACTTTTATAGTATTTTTGCTGCATTGTTAAATTAATCAAACCACGCTTAAATACTATTTTCGATTTTTTTTTATTTTGTAACTGATAGATGAATAGTTTAAAATCCTTAAACCATTCAATAATAACAAACATATATTAAATATAGATATGAAATATTATTATTCTAATTTTTAATTGTGATTTCTGGAATTATCATGAAAACTCTTATCCACAATGTCACTACTCATTATTCTGAATTTTTTTGAAAAAAATTATCATCTGAAAGATACGGAAATCATTTCTAAGAGATCGATATCTATTTTCTACAATATTCTCTAAATGTTTTGTTTTCTTTCATATTCTTTTTCTAACAACATGTTAAAACAATTACATTTATATGATATTATATATCGTTCAAAACGGGTAATAAAACTCTTCCCAAGCTAACAAAGCTTTCTCAGATCTTGAGTAGATGAAATATAAGTTACTCGTAACTTCTGGAGCAAAGGGATTACAACTACTAATTTACTTTACGATTCATAATTTCAACACCCCAGATGAACGGAAAAAAATTGTTACATGTGAAATTAATTACATTTTGTATATCATTGCAATATATATATATACCGGGTTACTGTATCTGCAGATTTTTGTGAATAACAGTGCCATGGGAAGGAAAAATAATTCTCGATTTTTTTTCATTTGTAGGTCTCACGAGTGTAAATACTGGAAAAATATTCTCCCCAAAAATAAAATGTATATCTAAATTATCATCCAACTCCAGTTCAAGATTATTAAAACATGATTTTATAATTGCAGGTATTTAAAGTTACTTTAAATCGTTTTTAAAACAATCATATCAATTTTATTTTCGCAGCAGGATGTTTAAGTCCACTGAGGTGGAAAATTTCAAAGATTTTCTTTCCTTGTTAATCATAAATTGTAAGACTGGTCATTTATCTAACCCGACAAATAATATCTATTTTTGTGATATTGACTAGTTTTTGTTACGAACTTAATAAAAAGCCCCCATTCAGGCACACGCTTCAAACATTTGTCAATTTCCCTGAATATGGAGTAAAAAAGATATTGTGATCATGATGTTCTATAGAATCAATCCAAAGAGCCCAAAAACTAAGGAATGATAAATTAATTAAATTGATTAACATATTAATTAACGGGATGCACTTTCGAATTAAAGAGCTTATAAATGAATGTTAAAAAGTATGTAGACAAACAAAACAACGAAAATAACATTATGTCAACGGAAAAAGAATCAAAACTCAAATTCAAAAGGGAAAAAAGGCAAAATATGAACAAAAAAAAGATTTACACTCAGACTCCTGAAAAAGGAAACGGAGAATAAAACCAGGTGTTCCGGAAAAGTAAGCGTCTTCTGTTTCATCGACAACACCCACCTTGTAAATCTAGGTCAACCCATGTAAGTAATTTCACGTTCCCAAATGAGAACAAGGTGAACAAATACGAAACCAATAGACGACTAACGAGCATCAAACACGTGCAATCACATATCGCATCAGGAAATAAAAATGTTCCCATTGAGATCATTATGACGACCGTTAAGCTTTCCCATCATTTTGATCAACCTCCTTTTCTCGAAATATTGTGTTGTGAGTTTGTCTGTCAATTACCATCATCATGCATGAGTCGTATATACGATAGATTTGGTTGGTAAAAATCTTGTTGTCTAAAGACGAGACATCAATATATCTTAAAGTGATCTATTTTGATAAGCTTTTGGAGGGGGGGGAGGGGTACATTTTGTACCCAAAGGTATACCAATAGTATGGTAACATGTAACTGCCATCTTCTTGTCGTGTTGTCATGATAATCTATCACAACAAATTGTCATTTTAACACGACTTTTCATGATAACATCGTGTTACGGCACTTTTAAAGTCGACTGGTCGTGATGATTACCGACATTTTGAATCGCCTTAGGTGTCATGACAACACGACTTTTTTGTCGTGATAATACTCGGAAATGACATAGATTAAAACTTTACTTTCTCTAGAAATAGACAGACACGTTATTCAGAATACCCTAATAAGTTACATTACATTAAAGGATGTAAGGCATATGAGACAGCTAACTGGCAATTCTTTTCTCTATCCAAAATGATGAGGACTCCCGAATGACGCGCCAATCTATTTAAGACAAAAGTAAAATTTCAACACAGGTCATTTTTCGAGTAATATCAAGACAAAAAGTCGTGTTGCCATAATTATCACGGCTAGTCGACTTAATAACACGCTTTATCACGATATCATCATAACAATTCGTGACATTGTGAAAATGTGCAGGAATAGATTACTATGACAACACAAATAAATGGCAGTTACACGCCACCATACTATTGTCTGTCAGAAGAAGTATATCTGTAGTACAAAGTACTGTATATGTATCTATTTTACCGTTTATCTTATTTTTTCTTAAATAACACGCTAACTGCAGTTTCTATATATAAAAGTAAATAACGTGCATGCGCATATTGATCGTGGCACAAATTTGCGGAAAATAGATAATACACAAAATATTGACTTTAAGCCATTTTAATTACATTTACTGGATAAGACATTGATTACAATGAAAAAAAATCAAAATGCTTCAAATCTCTTGTAAAACCGCGAAAATGTCAACTATCAATGAAAAGGTTTTCAGTATCTTAAAACGTATCTCAGTTTCTTAAAATGGCTCCTTTTTCCGTTTTCAAACCATCATCCGTTCTCGTCTAACAAAAGTAGAAGATACATAGAAGAGTATAAACTCGTGTAGAAAAATATATGAGAGGACAAAAGATATCTTTTTATTCACTTCTAAACAGTGTATACCTTAATCAGGAAATAGCAGGGAAACGGATGGAAAAAAAGCCTACTTTGTTACCTGAGGGAACAATGACCAGGTATTTCACGCGGTAACCTGTGAAATTGATACCAGTTATTACTTGAGGTAAACATTTAGTTAAACCTCGCTGTAGTTGTATAATGGATAACGCTATT